TTAGAAGAACTGGGAGCTCGTTGGGAATCACAATTTAGACCTCTCCAAATTCTCAGTCTCTCAAACAATGGCATGTGAGTCCTGAAAAATTAGATGATAGATAACTGTTACATAAATGACATGAGCTCGAAATTTTTTTTAAAAGCAGTTCTTGGCGGTGTTGGAATGAAGAAAGCATACTAGCACAGTAAAACCTCAGTTACACCAATACATTATTCATTATGTACTTCCTTCGGACCCAAGATCTTGAATGTCTAATTAAGGTGTGTATAATATAAGCTAGAAACAGTTCAAATACTAAACAGGACTTGGAGCTTTAGAAAGAGAATGTTACAGCTGATAGTACGTTTTAAGCCGAGCGAGTTATTCAAAGCTTTAATGACTTTCATCATTGTCTATGCTTATTATTGAGAGAACTTTAAATTCAGAAAAAAGTGATAAATTTGTTTTGAAAAATAAAAATTATTCTCTAAAATGTTCTTTCACCTCCTTTCCTGCTCTCCAACCATGTTGTCATCTGATTTCGTCTCCACTGCCCCCCCCCCCCCTCCCCGCCCGCCTTCTCCTATGGACTCCAGCCACTTTCAGCAGCCTCAAAACTGCTTCTTTTTTTTTAGTAAGTGTTTTACGGCACTAGCAACACAATAAGGTCATATAAGTGCCGAAGATTAGAGGTGTTACAAAGAGTAACAAACACAAAAAACAAGGAGAGATCAGGATGATAGATGTTTGGTAGGAAAAAAGGAGCAAACAACACCAGAGCACCCGCCAACCACCCACACTGCTTCCCCTTGGCTCCTTCTTACTGCTCTCTTTCAGCCACACCCCTGATCTTAGGGTAGGTAAGATCTAATACCTGGACTTCTCGGATAAAGCGATAAAGACAAAACATCTCGGAGGCCCAATGTACAAGTTTCGCATGTTAAAGATCTCTTGGTGGTCCAAAATCAATAAGAGTAGGCTTCGGCCTCCACCCGGGCAAAATTCAAAATTAACTCCTACCTTATTGAACTTGATTTAATTAAATGTGTCATGCTTACTAATATGACATGACCTAAAATAATGCAGTTGCGAGCGCCGTAAATACGGTAAAATACACACAGATTAAAAAAAAAAAAAATCAGTACTAGTGTAAGTTCCAAAGCCCAGCATATAAAATGTCTCAACTATTTAAAAAACAGAAGTACATCATAATGAACAGGGTGGATAATGTAAAATTTCTTCATATTTTCTTAAAATAGTTTTCAAATAACACCAGAACCTACCTTAACTCCATTTTCAGCTCATTCACGAACAAAAGGTCGTTTTCAAAATTTGAAAAGAAACGCAAGAAACTGTCGCAACAACTGAATTCAAAGACATCAGATATGACCCTAATACAATATAGTTCACAGGAAACATACTTATTTATGAAAAATAGAATAAACCCTTTCCTAGGGTCTGGAAAAGGCATCACAGCATTGATTTTATACTTTTAGCACACATTCACATTTTAATTTGCTTTATTTCTTATGTTTAATAAACGAAAATGATGTTTTGATCAATTTTGCAAAAATTGTTCGAGGATAAACTCATCTAATTTTAACCCTCAAACTAATGTGAGATTTTCCAGGGGAACTGTATTTTTCATAAGAAATGACAAAGTAGAACAATGAAAAATGCAACACAAACCAATCAAAGTAAAAGTAATACAGTAACAGTTGAAACAGGTCTAACAACTACAGTCCAAGAAAAATGAGACTATCAAAGAGGACTAGATCTACCTTCAACAGCACTAATACCCTCAACAATTGGTGGTTGTCTTGTACAGGTTTGATAGTACTTTCTAGGAAGAATATAGAAATGCAATTACATTTACAAGATAGAGGTACACCCAATCCCCGATAAAATACATCTTTTTTCTGCATTTGAATTTTTACGAGCTGCAATCCTTCTAACTTTCAAGTTTTGAGCAAATAGGCCTTTATTTTTTAATAAGAGAAAACAAATAGTCATGTTTGTTGCCTTGCTGAATGATGAATTTAAAACAGAATTTTTATAATAATAATAATAATATATATAAACTTACTTGATCAAGAATTTTGTCCATTTAACTGTGTAATCTACAAGACATCAATCATAGCACCTGGAGCAAACTGCCTTTCAAACTAGACTTAAAGACCACAGGCCAAAACTTGTCTCTACTCACTGTCAGGTTGTTATCTCGTGTACTACTTTCATTATAATTATTACTATTGTGAGCATGCAAGAACAAGGTGGATGCTAGCTGCTAGGTTATCATGATGTGGTTCAGGAGTAAAACTGCAAAAATCACAGTAAAAAGTGCCTCTAGCGGCCTAGCCTCTAGCCCGGCTTTTAATTTTTGTCATAGCACAAAGTGAGTTCAATTGTCCTGCTGCTATATAATAAATTAAGTGTTATCAACCAAACTAAATCAATTATTACACTCACTATAATGCTATCTGTGCAAACTGCAACTAGAGTCAAAACTGTCTCAGATGGCCACCCATTGTAGAGGAGAAAAGTGACGATCCCAGACAGGTAGCCGCCTTAACAGTGTCGTCAGTTTCACAAAATTTTTTTTAACACAGGAAAGGAAATGAGAAGTGGCCATTTGCACAGGTGAATTATTCAACTCCGTAAATTACTGATCATCTTATCAGGTGGCGATAGCAGAAGAGCAGCGTCAACCGTAGGTTACTTGAATTCAAACCTAGGCTTTAATTCCTTTTGACTTTTTGATTGCTTGCGTGTAGCTTTTGTATCCAGGATTATTAATTATTGTTGAGTAGATCTAGATCTGGAGTAGAGACGGGGTTGCACGACAAGCCTATGGTATGAACCATTAACTAGCTAGAGTGTTCCTGCGTTTATCAACATCCAGCAGCATTCTTTCCTGTGGTACAAGATTCTCGGCTGGTCGCTGTGGTTGCTTACTGCACGTACACAAAGGGAAGTTGTTACCAAGCTTGCTGATTACGTATTCTAACAGTGCATCCACCTGCAGTTGTAAGGCTGTCAATGCATTTTATGAAGATTTCCGTACTTGTACTGCACACACAGTAGTGTGTAGTGCGTGTAGCATCAGTGCTAAGCAAAGCACGAAGCCGCTCAGCCTCTCTGAGGGGATGGGTGGGGGTTGTCGCGCTGTGCCAGCATGGCATCTGGTAAGGCGAAGTTTCACGTGAAGGGTCACTACCTTTGCATGCACCTCCGCAAATGGGAGGTACCCTCCGTTCCTCTTCATCTTTCCCTACACGTAATAGTAAAAGAAATCCACTATACAAAGCTCTGTGAGGGCTTTGAGCAAGCGTTCTTCAGCAATATTTACAACGGATGGATAACCGAAGGTGTTTTTGTCTGTTTTCTGAGGGATATTTTCATCCCTCACCTAGAGATAGGGCACGAACGACAAAGAAGCCTGTCGTTTTGTTTGTTGGTGGCCACTCCAGCAATCTCTTGTTTGAGGTCTCAGACCTCTGCAGCGTGAATGGGATGCCTCATGGCCCAAACCAGCCACCTGATACAGCCTCTGGACCAGGCGTTCTTCGGGGCCATCAAGCCAGCGTGGCAAGAGGAGGTAAGGAAGCTCGTGACTGGCACCATGGAATCCGTCACACTGAGAATGTTTGCCAGCGTCCTGAAGAAGGCCTGGACAACAGCAGCTCGGCCGAACAAAGCCATGAGGGGATTCGCCAAGTCAGGGCTGTTTCCCTACAACCCTGACGTTGTCCCTACAAGTGACAAGCTGAAACTCCCAGCTGCACCTTCATGGGGTCCCCTGCCCCTACCCTCCACTTGTCACCCACCTTGTCTGCCTCTCTCCCACCCAGACCCACCTCTTCTGCCTCTGGGCCACCTACCTCTTTTGCCTCTGCCCCACCCCCATCCACCTCATCTGTCTCTGAGCCATCCACGTCACAAACTCTCCGTCACCGACACAAGGAAATATTCTCCATGAACTTTAGGCTTTAGGAGGAGAAGGTGGACCTGTACCTCAAGAGGTATGAAAATGGATACGACCTCAAAATCGACCTCAACTACATAAGACGCATCACCCTCCAGCAGGAACGCGTATCCCCGCTGATTGTTGCAAACAAAGGGAGGAGGGCAAACGAAGCAGGCACGGCGCGCTGGGCCAACGATAGCAGATGAAATGGTCTTCTCATCAGTCACTGAGGGGTTACATCCCCTCTCACCGGGGACTGGAAAGGTGACTTAAAATGCTTAGGGTAGCGCGGTCCGTCTCTTACTCTAGGCCTATATGGACTATGTCGGTAATCTTCCAGAACCAGATCTGCATGATGTTAAGGAAAAAAACATTACCGTTGTTACGTTTCTCGATTATAAAATAACACAAGAAGCTACAGCGAGCACCTGTCACACCTCTGTGATTGGCCTCAATATAGATCTAGATCTAGTCTAGATGATGTATTACCGCCATCTATTTTGTCGTCTTCCGGGGCTTCTCCCAAGACTCTTGGGTTTTCCTCGCCAGTAACAGTTGACTGGATCTCGCTGTCTTTGTTTTGTTTTTTTGTTGTATTAATTATTAATTTTGTGTTATTTTTTAATTAAGTCTCAGCAATTCCCGTTCCAAAAATTCACCTTCTCCTCAAAGTTGTATACACACACACACACCCACACACACTTGAAGCCGAAGAGTGTGCGCACTCACACAAACACACGCCAACAAGCAGGCCCCTTACGGCTTACGGCACGACGAGATCAGAAGTAGGCCTAGCCTTATTTTGTTTGCTTTTATTAATTACCTAGATCCAAAGAATGTGAGAGTGCATAGATTCTGGAGGCTAATTTAATAGCTGGAAGTGGAAGAGAGCTGACTGCCTGTAGACACTGTAGTACAGCCTGTAGACTGTAGCCTGTTGTATCGACTGCTGTATCCAGCTATCCTGCTCAACTCTCAACAAACTTTACAAATATTGCCTTTTTACTTTTTTAAAAGATGAAATAACAGCAGGTTACAGTACAGTGCTTACCAATTTCACCAGCCATTTTAGTGCAGGACCCTCTTCAACTGTCTAAATCAATTCAGTTCTTGTGAGGAGATCAGCGAAGTGGCGAGGCAGCTTCAACAGTCTACACTCATGTAGCGGTGTAGCCTCAGCCTCTTCTCTGTTTGTATTGTTGTAAAAAGTAAAATCTGAATTATGTCCTGTGAAATTAGGGCGGGTTGCCAGTTTTTTCTAAGTATGAGAAAAAAAATTAGGCCAAAGTTTGATTTGTGTTAAAGTTCGATGTAAAACTAAAATATTTATACTGTGTTACATGACCATGTATTGAATTTAAAGTCTTCAGGACGAAAACACAATAAACGTATGTGTACTTGAAACATTATGCCTCTTAACTTTGTCCCTTTAAATGATTTTCTACCTTCAATCGTGTGTGTGTGTATGTGTATGTACGTATGAATATGTATATGTGTGTATGTGTGTGTGTGTGCGCGTGTGTGTGTGTATGTGTGTGTGTGTGTGTGATAATATATATAAACTTACTTGATC